AAAAAAATTCTTCAATCTAGCCCCAATGCCTAGAACAGTGCCTAGTACATAGTAGGTGCTCAATAAATATTTGTGAGAAAAATGAATGCTTGTTCAGCCTGTGCTTGTCTTTTGTTGTTTATTATGAATAATTTCAAACACACCAAAAAGTAGAGAGAATCATATAATGAACATCCATACATACATCATTTAGATAAAACAGTTGTGTACATTTTGCCATATTGGCTTTATCTGCTTTTTCTTTTTTGGCTGAAGTATTTTATTAAAGTATTTATAGTCAATGTGCCATTTCATCCCTAAATCTGCATCCTTTAAGAAAAATCAGATCCGTTACTTTACTTAGCCACGGTACCATTGTAACATCTAACCAAATGAACCCCAAATCTGTGTTCCCATCGAATTTCTCCACATCCACATTTCCCCCCAAACGTTTTGTACACTTGATTCAAACCAGGACCCAGTCAAGGTCCACAAATTGTGTTTGATCATACCTCATAAATCTCTTTAAGTCTAGAACGGCCTCTCCTCTCTCTTCTCCTCCCTTTTTTCTAGGTCACTGACTTGTTGGAGAGCCGAAGCCCATTGTCTTACTAGTAGAATGCCCTCCCTTCTTGGCTTGGTCTGATGGCTTACTTGCGATGTACTTAACTTGACCCTTTTGCTCCTGTGTTTCCGGTACACCAGAAGCTAGATCTGAAGGTCTGATCAGATTTTGGTCAGACATTTTTGGCAAGAATCCTTTCTAGGTGGTGCTATGAGTGTCCTGTTGCGTCACACCAGAAGGCTCCGAGTCACTGGCTGTCTCATTAGAGAAGCTAAGATTGATTAGTGGGTTCAGGCGGTGAAAAGCCGATCCCTTACATTGTAGGGTTATTTCTTCACTTGCAACCAGTAAGAGCTCTGTGGGCCGAAGATTTGGCACCACGTGACTACTCAACCTTCCTTGACCCTTTCACCTCATGGTTTCAGCATCCAATGGTGATGTTGCCTGAGTCAATTATTTCATCTGGGGTTGTAAAATTCTAGTGCTATCCTTCCTTCATCATTTATGAGGGGACATTGTTCTGTAAAGAAGAGCTTCCTCCCCTTGTTGACGAGGGCGGAATAAAGTCTTTGGGTGGCTCTGTCAGTGGAGCTTCCGACTCTTGATCTCAGGTCTTGATCTCAGGGCTGTGTGTTCAAGCCCCATGTTGGGCGTGGAGCCTACTTAAAAAAAAAAAATTCTTTCCCTTCAATGACTGTTTTTCAGAGTAAGGATTTCATCCAATAGCCACTTCCCATGGTGACAAATTCTTATTCTCTCTCTCTTAGTATCATTATGAACTCAGTGATTTTTGAAAATACTATCAAGGTGTTTCATTCAGTCATATTCATTATTTTTTTAAATAACCTTTGAATTCTGGAATAATTTGATTCATAGAAAATAGCAAAGATAGTACAGACAGCACCCATATGCTCTTACCCAGGTACCCTAACAATAACATCTTACATTACCGTGGTTCCTTTGAAAAAACTGAGAAATCAATATTGATATATTACTATTATCTTTTTTAAAAGATTTACTTATTTATCTGAGAGAGAAAGAGAGAGAGAGGAGTGAAGAGGAGGGGCAGAGGGAGAAGCAGACTCCCCAGTAAGCAAGGAGCCTGACAAAGAGTTCGATCCCAGGACCCCGGGATCATGACCCAAGCCAAAGGCAGACAATAAACCTACTGAGCCACTGAGGCACCGCACTATTATCTTTTTTTTTTTTTTAAGATTTTATTTTTGAGTAATTTCTACTTCCAATTTGGGGCTCAAACTCACAACCCTGAGATCAAGAGTCACACACTTTATTGACTGAGCCAGCCAGGTGCCCTGATACATTACTATTATCTTAACACCAGAGTTTTATTTAGACTTCAGTTTTTCCACTAATGTCCTTTTTCTCTTCCAGGATCCATTCTAGGATCTCTCATTCATTCTTTCTTTTTGATGCTTCAAAATGACGCCATTGTATCAGGTGGGAGCCCTGTCAGTCTGGCTCTGTGTCCTCTTGACTTGATCATGATCCTGAATAGTCTTTGATAAGCTCCTTTGCTTTCTGGGCCAGTAAGGTGTCCCAGGCTCACCTGGATTTGATTTCTTTGCCAACATTTAGAAAGTGGTAGATTTAACTGGCAAATGAAGATACTCAGTTTTTCCTGAGAAGTCAGCCAATCTGGGAAAGCAGCATCTATGTTCCAGGTTGGCAGAAATTGGCTGCAGCCTAGTAGGCCTACCCCATATTGAAAGGGCGTGCAGGGTCCTCCAGTTTGACACAGTCCTCACCACTCCCTGCAACCAGTTTGCGCCATGCCTTTATGTAAGCTGCCTGGATTCTGTAGGCATTTGAGGTTGCTCCGTCTGGGAGCAGAACAGCCTGCTGTCCTCCCCTCCTTCTGTCTTTCCTTCATATTTATGAAACGTCTCCTATGCACTGCCCATTATGTGGGCTGCTGGGGTTTCAATGGTAAGTAAAACAATATGTGGGGCATTGACCTGTTTGATCTTAGATTCATTCCTCGATCTTTTAAAAAAAAATGATTTTATTTATTTGTTCATGGGAGACAGAGAGAGAGAGCACGGAGAGAGAGAGGCAGAGACATAGGCAGAGGCAGTGTCCCCATGGGGAGCCTGATGAGGGACTCGATCTGGGAACTCCGGGATCATGACCTGAGCCACCCAGCTGGCCCCATTGCCTGATCTTTTGCAAATGACATGTCTGCGGTGTCACTGCCAGCTGGCCAGCTGACTTCCAGCTAAATTGAGGCAAAAAAGAGGGACTGGCAGGAGATTGGGTGGTGGGACAAAGGGAGGAACTAGGATTAGCCACCACATTGCAACGTTCCCCTCTTCTCAATTTAGGAGAGCATTTTTCAGCAGAGGCTGAGTCTCCTTTCTGGTGTAGCTTCTCACCTGTCCCCCCAGAGAGGGACACCACCTGCTCCCTGTGCCCCGGCCATGAAGGCAGCTTCCCGCTCTTGCTCTTACTAAGCCCAGGGTTGCTCCACCATCCCCTCCTTGCCTTCTCAGCGGCTGGCTCATTTGTGTAATCCATTCCGTGTGTGAACTTCCCTCTTCTCGAAAGCCCCAGAATAGTTTCTGTTTTTCTGATACAATACGCCAGGCTCCTAACCTCCTGGAGCATGGACTGATTCCTATCTGCATTCACTTGCTTTGTGACTCGTAGCAAATTATTTCATCTCTCTCAACCCCCACCTTCCTTATCAGGAATATAGAATAATAATAGTACCCATCTCATGTTATTGGTGCAAGGATTAAATGCAGTGATACCTATCAGGTGCTTAGCTCAGTCCCTGGAACTTAACACACCTTTAAAAATACTACTTATTCTAAGCTACAGGGTTCAAATGGTACCTGATCCCACCAGAGGACAACCAGGGACTTCTTTTTGTCTGGCTCCATAGACACACAGCCAGTGTTTTTTGAGCATCTTACTATTTAAGATGTTTAATCTCAAGCTTGTTTAATCTTGATAAATTTCGAGGTACCTGGATGGCTCAGTGGTTGAGCATCTGCCTTTGGCTCAGGATGTGATCCTGGGGTCCTGGGATCGAGTTCCACATCGGGTTCCCTGCATCAGGGAGCCTGCCTCTCCCTCTGCCTGTGTCTCTGCCTCTCTGTGTGTGTGTCTCTCATGAATAAATAAATAAAATCTTAATATATATCATTATGGTATAGGTATTATTATTCTCCCCATTTTTCAGAGGACGAAGTAGAAGCACAGATAGTTTGAATAACTTGCTCAGGGTCGAGGAGGCATGACCGGAACCTGAGCGAGGTGCCTTCAGAGCCTATCACCTTTAACCTGTATCTAAACTCCCAATATGCTAGACTCCATTTGTTATAATAGGTAAAAATGTGTCTCTCCCCTCTGGTAGCTCACAGCTTAGCTGGAGAGACAGGCTGTTAATTGCTAAGCACGTTGCAATGTGGTGGCTAATCATTCTTTCTGTGTGCTTGTTCATTCGATCATTCGTTCATCCAGCAAGCTCTGGACACCAGTTGTATGCTGATCGCTGATCACTGTGCTAAGGGCTGGGGAGAGGCTGGTGTTGGCCTGGGGGACCCAGACCTGCACACCTTCTGTAGCCACCAAGTGCAGAGTGGTGGAATGGGAGGCTTCTGACATTTCTTGGTTTTATTCCTCCAAAGTACAGGACTTTGGAGTCGACACATTTGTGTTTGCCTCCTCCTTGAATTACTTGCTGTGTGACCTCCTGCAAATCACTTACCCTCTCTGTGCTTATTTACACATGAAAACCTGGAGATAGTAAGAATACTTCACAGGCTTAATGTTAGAGTGAGTTGATGAATACGAAGCTCTTGGGGCTCCTTGGGTGGCTCAGCGGTTTAGTGCCTGCCTTGGGCCCAGGGTGTGGTCTTGGAGTCCCGGGATCGAGTCCCGGGATCGAGTCCCGGGATCGAGTCCCACATCGAGTCCCACATCAAGTCCCACATCGAGCTCCCTGAATGGAGCCTGCTTCTCTCTCTGCCTGTGTCTCTGCCTCTTTCTCTCTCTGTGTCTCCCATGAGTAAATTAAAAAAAAAAAAATCAAAGCTCTTAGCACCGGGCACCCAGGAAGGGCTTCATTATTAGTTGTTAGTGCCATTTGTTGATAACGTGGTTCATTACCCATGACCCCCCAATTCTTTTTATTTATTTTTTATTTTTTTATGACCCCCCAATTCTAAATACTTTGTCCCCTCCCCCAAAAAAACCAATTCAAATAAATAAATAAATAAATAAATAAATAAATAAATAAATAAATCCTGTGTGCCTTAGTTTGGCAATGTTTTGCTTCTGTAACAACCAGATGCGCTCCTTCTGACTTTTCAACCGACAAGCCTCAGCAAGGCAAGAACCACGCTAGCAGGCACGACAGCCCAATTAAAGACGCCCTGTCGGCGGCTGTTGATTCGCAGGCGCTGCGCAGAAGCCCTGGAGAGGGCTGGAAGCTCTGCAGCCTTCCTGGGCCCCCCAGCAAGCCCAACCCTGCCTGGCTCCGGATCTGTCATGCCTGGATGGGTTTAAAGAACCGCGACCCATTCTAATGGAACAGGTATGAATTTCATTCCACAAACTTGGATGGGAAACACCTAAGATTGTTTGCTTTTCTGTTAACAATGTGATTTCTTTCTCTGGCTTCTTCTTCCAGGAAGCAGAAACTTCATCGCCAGTTGCAAGTCTAAAAATCAGCTGTAGGCTGAAGACTCCCAAACAGGTATCTCCAGCATCCTCCCTGAAATCCTAGCGCACATCTGTCTGTCTTCTTGACAATCTCGCAGGGATGTTCAATAGGCATCTCCAAATGAATAATCACCCAAAACTGAACGCCAGCATTTTCTTCCCAACCCTGCTCTTGTGTCTTCTCCGTCACCGGAATTTCCCAGCGTGATGTGGTAAGAGGAGCGGGTGCTGGTTTTTTGTTTTCTTTCTTATTCATAATTAGCCTTTTCCAACCAGACCTGAGTTTATGCTAATGAGGTGACTCTGGGCGGGCTCCTAGGTAGCTTCAGACTACTGGTTGCCAGGAAAACCAACCCTGGGATTAGAGGATTGGAACTTCCTGCCCTACTGCGAAGAGACAAGGGATGGAGATAGGGTTAACCTCCATTGGCCAATGATTTAATAAATCGTGCCTAAAAAATGTGAGCAAATGTGGGGTTTGGAGAGCTTCTGGGATGGTGAACACATAGAGGTGCTGGGGGAAGGGTGCAGTTAGCACATTCTTTTTTTTTTTTAAGTTTTTATTTATTTCTTCATGAGAGACACACAGAGAGAGGCAGAGACACAGGCAGAGGGAGAAGCAGGATCCCTGCGGGGAGCCTGTTGTGGGACTCGATCCCAGGACCCTGGGACCAGGACCTGAGCCAAAGGCAGACGCTCAACCGCTGAGCCACCCAGGCGCCCCTGCAGTTAGCACCTTCTGAGAGGATATGGAAGCTCCAAGTGTTCTCCCCAATGCCTTGCCCTATGCATTTCTTCCTTTCATCTGTTTCAGAGTTGTATCCTTTATAATAAACCAGTAAATGGACAGAAAATGTTTCCCTGAGTTTTGTGAGCTCTTCCAGAACATTATCAAACCTGACATGTGGTTGTACGAATTCCCCAACTTTGTAGTCAAGTTGGACAGAAATGTGAGCACCGTGGGCACCCATCGCTTATGGTGCCTGACGTGGGGCAGCCTTGTGGGAGTGAGTCCTTAAACTGTGGGGTCTGTGCTAATTCCAGGTAGCTTATGGCTAAATTGAATGAAATCATAGGACAGCCAGTTGGTGTCCAGAGACTCAGAAAATGGGTTGATGTGGGGAAAAAACTCCCATGCACTTGGTGTCAGAAGTACTGGGAATAGAAACAGATCTTAGAAGTACTGCCCTGGGGGATCCCTGGGTGGCTCAGGTATTCACATTTGCCTAACCCCCACCCCCACCCCGCCCCCACAGGTGCTTGCTTGTCACATAGCAAGTGCTTAATAAATATTTGTTACATTAATGAAGTTGGGGTTCACCACTCTTTTTCCCCAGGATAGTGTTTTAGTTCCAAAGAACTTAAAAAGCACCAAGATATCAAGGAAAGGTGTATTCCTTCCTTCCTTCTGAAAGTGAAGAATGCCTTCTGCTGACATCTCAAGTGGCCCTCCGACGCTGTCCTGGATCCCTTTTCCCCTTCACAGCGCCCATCTGCCTCCAGCTCCCCTCCTTCTCATCAGTCCTCTGGCTGTCATGAATGTCACCAGCTTCCCTGATGGATGGATGGCTTTCAGCTCTTTACTTTTGTGCTATGAATCTGGCTGTTTCTTGTCAGATGCCTGTGTGAGTTCCACTTCTGCTCGCTCCTGAAATGTTGGCACCTCACAGGGGTTCCTGCCAAGCCTCCTTCTTCTCTTTTCTCCTCTCCTCCCCTCTCCTTTCCTCTCTTCTCCCCTCCCTCCCCTCCCCTTCCCTCCTCTCCTCTCCTCTCTTCTTTCTCTTCTCTTCTCTTCTCTCCTCTTCTCTTCTCTTCTCTTCTCTTCTCTTCTCTTCTTTCTCTTCTCTTCTCTTCTCTTCTTTCTCTTCCTTTTCTCTTCTCCTCCCTCTTCCCCTAAAGTGAGTTCATTGACTTCCATGACTACCTCCTCAGCCCAAATCCTTCTCTTAGTCTTCAGACCCAATTATAATTGCCTGCAGGGGATCCCTCTCTATCTGTCCCCTAGGCACCAAAATTCAACAAATCCAATGTTTAAGAACAGCCAGGGGGACGCCTGGATGTCTCAGCAGTTGAACATCTGCCTTCAGCTCGGGGCGTGATCCTGGAGACCCGGGATCGGGATCGAGTGCCTTCTCCGGCTCCCTGCATGGAGCCTGCTTCTCCTTCTTCCTGTGTCTCTGCCTCTCTCTGTGTGTCTCTCATGAATAAATAAATAAAATCTTAAAAAAAAAAAAAAAAAAGAACAGCCAGGGTTGCCCTTCCTGGCAAATGGAATCATGGAATCACCAACCATTCACTCATCCAAGATAGAAACCCAGCCTTTGTCCTCAACTCCTGTCTTTTGCTTAGTTGCACATCTAATCCATCACAAATTATAGAAATCCCACTTCTTGCTACAGACGCTCCCGTAGCTCACATTGCCATCTTTTCTCAGACCGCTGCTCTTATGGCATCTTTTCTGGTCCCCTCCCAATCTCTTCTCCACACAGAAACCAGAGAGATTTTTCTAGAATGCAAACTTGATCCTCACTTGAAAAACCTTCCATGGCTTTGATTACTCATGGGATAAATTCCTTAACCCTACTATGGTGGCCAACCTGATCCAGCCCCAGCAACTCCTCTGCCACCACAGCTTGCCTTTTCCCCTCTAGATAAGCAGACCTTTCTTTCCTTCAACCTGCCATGATTGTCAATGCTATACATTCTTTTTTTTTTAAGATTTTATTGATTTATCTATTCATGAGAGACACAGAGAGAAGCAGAGACATAGACAGAGGGAGAAGCAGGCTGCCTGCAGGGAGCCTGATGTGGGACTCGATCCTAGGACTCTGGGATCATGCCCTTAGCTGAAGGCAGATGCTCAACCACTGAGCCACCCAGATGCCCGAATGCTATATATTCTTAAAAGAAGATAAGACTTATGTCTTTCATCCTTCCTTCCTTCTTTTCTTCTTTTTCTTTTAAAAGTTCTTTTATGGGCAGCCCAGGTGCCTCAGCAGTTTAGCGCCACCTTCAGTCCAGGGTGTGATCCTGGGGACCTGGGATTGAGTCCCACATCAGGCTCCCTGCATGGAGCCTGCTTCTCCCTCTGCCTGTGTCTCTGCCCCTCTCTCTCTCTCTCTCTCTCTGTGTGTGTGTCTCTCATGAATAAATAAATAAAATCTTAAAAAAATAAAAATAAAAAACTTTTAAAAAATAAATAAAAGTTCATTTATTTATTTATTTTTAATAATTTTGACACACAATGTGGGGCTTGAACTCATGATCCTGAGATCAAGAGTTACATGCTCCTCTGACTTAGCCAACCAGGCTCTGCATTTTGCTGACAGTGATACTTGTTTGCAACATTGCCCTTCTTGATTTCTCCTTCATCTCCTTCATTTCTTCCCTTCACTTGTTAGCTCTTAGGTACTCCCCCAATATCAGCTTGAAAACCAGCCCTCCAGGAAGTTTACCCCATCTTCCCAGGTCTGGCGCAGCACATATTCACTCAACTGGGGTGTTTTTACTTCTTGGGCTCATAGCTGGACTCTACCTCCCAGGCTCCCATGCAGATGGTGGGGCCATGTGACTCATGGCCATGGCTTGAACACCTATTCAAATCCTAATCAATAAAAACCTCCTATGTCACCTTCCCCTCTTCAGTCCCTCTTTTCTTCCTCTGCCTGGCAGATGCAGGGGGACCCCATGGAGAACTCTGACACCTCACAGGAGCGTGATGAAACCATGAGATAAAAGGAGCTTGGATCCCCGAATGACTGTGTGGAGAAGAGCCTCGCCTGCTGTCTCTCCAACCAGTATTTAATTGTAATGTGAGTGAGAAATAAACCTGCTTGTATTGAGGTATGATGTAAGTCACTGAGACTTAGGGGTATTACAGCAGTTAGCCTACCCCTGATAAATGCAGCTGGATGCATTGTTCTTTCCTCCTCACCCCCGTTCTCTCATAGATTTCTTAACCTCCCACCATAGCACTTAGCAGATTGAATAGCAACAGCCTCTCACCTGGCTGTCTCTTCACCTGACCATGAGCTGTGGGAAGGGACGGACCATGCCTGTCTCGTCCTCTGTGTGAGCTGCCATTCAGTTCAGCACCTGGCTTGTTGCAGCCACTAAGTCAATATTTGTGGAATTGCTTTATAGTTGTTGAGTCCTCTGTTCCTGAATGCCTATTTTGGTCAGTTGCCCAGGACTGGGATTCCTCCTGCATCTTGCCAGTCTCCTCTCCTGACACCTGGGACCTGCCTCTGAACCAGTCCAGTAGCTGGGGCTCCCAGATGACACAGGCCCTGAAGCTGGCCCGCCTCCTGGAATTCCCCATGTTGCCACCGTTCCCAGGCCTGGGCCTCCGCCCACCTGTCAGGATCCCTGACACTGCCTGGTTTTCTCATGCCTACTGTCTGCCTTGTGGAAGTCACATTCCTTTCTGCTGTACTGGATTTCCTCCCAAGTCCTGTAACTTTCCTAGTTGCATACTGAGGCGCTGGCAATGAGGCAATCACCAAGATATGTTGTTGGCCAAAAGAAATCGGGGTATGAAAAGGGGTGGGTATATAATATATCATCATTTGTGAAAAAAATAAAATGGATAAAGTATATTGGAATTTGCATAATATATCTTCAGAAGAACACATCAGAAAACTGGAAACAGTGCAGGGGTGGAGGGGTAGGGAGTAGAGACCTGGCAGTTGGGAAGCAGGGGGATTTAGCTTTTACTGGTTTATACCATGTGGTGGGCTGAATAATGGTTCCCCCTCCCCAATATATCCACATCCTAATTCCCAGAATCTGTTACCTTACACAGCAAAAAGGACTTTAGAGATGTAATTCAGTTAAGGATCTTGACAGGAGAGATTATCTTGGATTATTGGGGCGGGAGGGGGATGTTCAATGTTAGCACCAGAATCCTTATAAGAGAGAGGTGGGAGAGTCAAGATGAGAGAAGTAGAGGTGCTATTGCAGGGAGAAGCAGGGTGGAGGGAAAGAGGGGTGTGTGTGCATGTGTGCGCATGCATGGAGAGAGAGAGAGAGAGAGAGAGAGGATTATTTGAGAATGAAGAAAACAGTAGAAGGTCACACAGCTGGTTTTCATAGGTTACCAGGGAAGGACCTGAAGGAAGAGGAGAATTAGAGAGGATAAGAGCACCAAGAAAAATAACAGAAAAGATGCACCAAAATGCACAACATGATTCCATTTATGACTCCATGTAAAATCATGCCCTGAACATGGGTAGACACCCAAGGGGAGACAGTTCTTCAAGAGAACCTACCAAGCATAAGACCACAACAATCACAAAAGGTTTACCAGGGGTAGAAGACAAGGAAAAACACAAAAGACCACAAATGTATGAAAATTTGGGGCTCCAGGGAACTGATCTGGACAATTGTCCTGGCTCTACCCCTTTCCTACCGTGAGACTCTGGACAAGTTCCCTAATCCCTTTGAACCTCAACTTCTTCCTCTGGAAAATGTGGGTAATTAACAGTATGTTCCTCAAGGGGCCACTGTGAGGAGTGAACGTGGGATGAGGTCATGTCCAGGAAGCATCTAGCCCCCATGCCTGGCCATAATGCTTTAATAAATGGAGGTCACAAACATTCCAGGGCCAGCTGGCCACGAAGCTCTGGAGGTCCTGTAGTTCTCCCAGGCTTTGAGTCTGGCCAAGAGCAGTGGCCCAGATGTGCTCCAGATGAAGAGAGACCTCTCAGCCTCAACACCACCTCCTGGGGTAGGAAGTACAGACTTTGGGGCAAGACTGCTGCCCCAGTTACTAGCCATGGGAACTTGGATCAGGTTTCCTTCTTTCTCATGGCTGAATAATATTCCACTGCATATATATCACATAGTCTTGTCCTCTGATTCTTCACCTCCTCTTGATCATATAATACCTTCCTAAATCTACCTGTGTCTGTTTCTGGGCCACCCGCTCTGTTACACTGAATTTTATTTCGGTACTAAAGCACACCATTGAATTATCGTGGTTAATATTAGGTTTTTTACTAAAGGGCAAAGCCCCTTTCACAACTTTTATTTTCTAGAGTGTTCTAGTCCATGCTGATCATTTTGGTCTTCCAAATGAACTTTGAATTCTTGGTCAAATACGAATCCTTATGGCTCTGAAATAAGCATTCTTTTGGAGTTTTATTTGGCATAACTTTGTTTGTACAGTGTGGATGTTTTGAGAATTCTTGTGTTCCTATTCTCAAGACGGACTGTTTCTCCATCAAGCATTATTTGATTCTTCTCAGAGGTGCCTGGCTGGCTGGCTCAGTTGTTAGAGCATGTGACTCTTGATCTCAGGGTTGTGAATTCAAGCCCCATGTTGGGCATAGGGATTACTTTAAAAAAATATCTTGGGGCCCCTGGGTGGTTCAGTGGTTGAGCGTCTGCCTTTGGCTCAGGTCGTGATCCTGGGGTCCTGGGATAGAGTCCCACATCAGGGTCCCTGCAGGGAGCCTGCTTCTCCCTCTGCCTATGTCTCTGCCTCTCTCTGTGTCTTTAATGAATAAATAAATAAAATCTTTAAAAACAAAAATCTTGATCCTTCTCAATAAAATTTCTTAGTTAAAAAAAAAGATTTCCTGTACATTTTTGCTAGTAAGCCATAAAAAAATTGTGTGTGGACATTTGTGGGAAATACTGATAGATTCATCTTCATAAAAATCACAAACCCCTCACAGGGAAAAAGTACCACTATCACAACTAAGGAGCTATTGAAAAACTAGGGTAAATATTTCTAGCATAAATGATAAGAAAAAAGGTTAATATCTTTCCATTACTCTTTGTAAGGGCTCTTTTTCTTTTTCTTTTCTTTTTTTTTTTTTAAGATGTATTTATTTATTTTGAAAGACAGAGAGAGAGAGGCAAAGACACAGGCAGAGGGAGAAGGAGGCTCCTCACAGGGAGCCCGGTGTGGGACTCAGTCCCAGGACCCCAGGATCTTGCCCTGAGCCGAAGGCAGATGCTCAACAGCTGAGACACCCAGGCGTCCCTGTAAGGACTCTGATAAATAAGAGAAGAGGCATACTCTGGCAGAAAAATGAGAAAAGTATATGAACTGGTAACTCACAAAGGTAATTCACAAAGCAGGCAATAAACACATGAAAAAAAATCTACCTCAAAAGTATAAGTTAAAGCATCAGAAACACATTTTTAATTTAGCATGGATTTTAAAGAATGATGCCAGCTTCTATTGTCAAGTATTTGGGAAAAAATACACACAGAAACTATTGGGATTGTTGAGACTTTCTGGCTGGCAGTTTGGCAAGATAACAGAAAGCTTTAAAGATATTCATGCTTTAGTAAAGGAAATGATAGGTGTGTCCAAACATTAATCTAGAAGGATATTTATCTATCATAGCAATACACTGGAAACAACCTATTTGTCAAATAGCAGAGTATTGTTTAAATGGACTCTGGCACATACTGAAATGCAATGTCACCAGGGAAAATTATGAGGTAGACGTATCTGACCTGGAAAGATATTGATCATGTGTCATTAAATCAGTGGCTCTCAGTCCTGGCTGTATATTAGAATCACTTGAAAAACTTTAAAAAAAGTCAATGCCTAGGAACCATAGCCGGAGATTCTAATTCCACTGGTTTGAGCTAGGACCCAGGTACTAGTATTTCTTTAAGTTAAATTAAAATTTTAACTTGAAGGGACACCTGGGTGGCACAGCTGTTGAGCATCTGCCTTCAGCTCAGAGCATGATCCCAGAGTCCTGGGATCGAGTCCCACATTGGGCTCCCTGCATAGAGCCTGCTTTTCCTTCAGCCTGTGTCTCTGCCTCTCTTTCTCTGTGTGTCTCTCATGAATAAATAAATAAAATATTTAAAAAAATAAAATTTTAACTTGAAGATCATTGTATATTCACATGTAGCTGTAATAAATAATACAGAGAAACTCTGTTTTCCCCTTGGTGGTAATATCTTACAAAACTATATTACAATATCTCAACTAAGATATTGACATTGATGCCATCAAGATAAAGAATACCCCCTGCCAAAAAAAGATAAAGAATATTCCCATCACCACAAGAATCCCTTGTGTCCCCTTTAGAGATGTTATTTCCTTTTCTTGCCTTATTGCACTATCTAGAACTTACTATGTTGAATGACACTGGTGATTCTGACATCTTTGTCTTATTCTTGGTCTCAGGGGAAAGCATTCAGCCTTTCACCATTAAGTTTAATGACAGCTATGGATTTTTGTAGATGTCTTTTATCAAGTTGGGAAATTTCCCCTGTATTTCTAGTTTTCTGAGATTTTATCATGAATGGGTGTAGAATTTTACAAATGCTTTTTCTGTATCAATTGACTAATCACATGATTTTTCCTTCTTTAGCCGGTTTATATGGTAGATTACATTGATTTTTAAATATTGAATCACTACTGCATCTCTGAAACAAACCCCATTTGTTCATAGTGCATACCTATTTTTATATATTGCTGAATTTTTTTGCTATTATTTTGTTAAAGATTTTTGAATCTATATTCATGAGGGATAATAGTATGAAGTTCTCTTTCATTGTGGTGTCTCTCTGATTTTGGTATCAGGGTAATACTAGCTTCATAAAATAAATTGGGAAACCTTCCTTCCTCCTATACTTTTTAGAAGAGATTATGTAAAATTGGTATTAATTCTCCTTCAAGTGCTGAAGATCTGTCTTTTTTTTTTCAGTTTGTTTTCTCTCGATCAGATTGGATAATTTCTCTCTTTTGTTTATCTGAAACATGACCTGTATAACAACAAATATTTTTTTTAAATGTCCTCCTAAACTGTCTCCCCTCTGCCTCCTGAGGTCTTTCCCATGTATTTACTTCTGATTCCATTTCTCCACCCAGATCATAAATACCCTCCACAGGATATCCATGGGAAGGAATTTACATGGATTAGACCTTTTACTGTCCTGGAAATGCATTCATTTAACACATATTTTTTGCATGCCTACTATGAGCCAGGAATCAATGAAGAGTAGCCCCAATATAGCTTTGTATGCTTTATATATTTTTATTTTTGGTAAATTATGATGTTTTGATATTTTTTTTTAATGTTTTGATATCTTAAAAGCCTTTCTGTTTGCGGATAAACTGTCTTTCCTGGATCTAGACAATTCT